AGAACACATGAAAGCCTGTCGTCTGTTGTTCGTTCAGTGGTTGTGGAACGAATGCTTTTAGGATCGGTCGTCACTCACCGCGAAATCTTGCGCATGCGCGTATATCGAATTCCTAGCAGGGACATTCTCCTGGTCTGCGGACTGTACTTTGTACTTGCGAGCATCCGACTGTGTTTGAACATTAAACATTCGGTCGACGTTAACAAAAACCCTGCATGCTTCCACGACGAACTATTCTCTCCTGTAGCCAGTACACTGTGGAGATCGAACATCAATTAGACGGTCATGTTTAAGCCCGGCGTCATCTGTACTGGATGTGAAAGATACAATGTAACTCGATACACCGTTAAACTATAATGTTTCAACAGACTACGGAGATATTACAGTATATGTATGGCCCAGGCGTCTCAGTTACGTATTATCATTGGTTTTGTCATCGTCACTGAGCTCAGCGACGCAGGCAGACGCATACAAGGGGATCAACATAGCAAATCCCCCTACGACGGATGGACGTGTGATCACATTACATTACCTTATTTTCTGGAGCTCTGTTCAAACCGAATGGGCATGAGGGGTACACGTACGCAGTTGGTTATGATTCCGTTCAAATACTACTTTAGAGTAAGGTTTCGTTGTTTTAAAAAGTACTAATTTCCCACACACTTGTACAAATTTAATGGGTTTTGTTTATGGAGGAGGAACATTCTTTCTTCTTGAATACAGTGGCATAAACACTGCACACAATTCAAGGTTCACTGGTGGTAGGTTCGTCGCTGAAACCGACGAATGCAGACCAGTCATTTCCAGGAAGGCCAAGGGATTCCGGGAGATCCTGACAGAGACAGCGAAGAGGCGCACCATCAAATCTGCCCAGACAACAAACGAGATGAAGATTTCTGTCTTCTCGGTTGTTGCGCTGTGTAGTCTGGTCGATGTTTACCAACGTTTCAGAGGTCATACTGCTTCCGTCATCAGAGTATGAAGATCTGTCTTCTGGATTGTTGCACCGTGTAGTCTGGTCGATGTTTACCAACGTTTCAGAGGTCATACTGCTTCCGTCATCAGAGTATGAAGATCTGTCTTCTGGATTGTTGCACCGTGTAGTCTGGTCGATGTTTACCAACGTTTCAGAGGTCATACTGCTTCCGTCATCAGAGTATGAAGATCTGTCTTCTGGATTGTTGCACCGTGTAGTCTGGTCGATGTTTACCAACGTTTCAGAGGTCATACTGCTTCCGTCATCAGAGTATGAAGATCTGTCTTCTGGATTGTTGCACCGTGTAGTCTGGTCGATGTTTACCAACGTTTCAGAGGTCATACTGCTTCCGTCATCAGAGTATGAAGATCTGTCTTCTGGATTGTTGCACCGTGTAGTCTGGTCGATGTTTACCAACGTTTCAGAGGTCATACTGCTTCCGTCATCAGAGTATGAAGATCTGTCTTCTGGATTGTTGCACCGTGTAGTCTGGTCGATGTTTACCAACGTTTCAGAGGTCATACTGCTTCCGTCATCAGAGTATGAAGATCTGTCTTCTGGATTGTTGCACCGTGTAGTCTGGTCGATGTTTACCAACGTTTCAGAGGTCATACTGCTTCCGTCATCAGAGTATGAAGATCTGTCTTCTGGATTGTTGCACCGTGTAGTCTGGTCGATGTTTACCAACGTTTCAGAGGTCATACTGCTTCCGTCATCAGAGTATGAAGATCTGTCTTCTGGATTGTTGCACCGTGTAGTCTGGTCGATGTTTACCAACGTTTCAGAGGTCATACTGCTTCCGTCATCAGAGTATGAAGATCTGTCTTCTGGATTGTTGCACCGTGTAGTCTGGTCGATGTTTACCAACGTTTCAGAGGTCATACTGCTTCCGTCATCAGAGTATGAAGATCTGTCTTCTGGATTGTTGCACCGTGTAGTCTGGTCGATGTTTACCAACGTTTCAGAGGTCATACTGCTTCCGTCATCAGAGTATGAAGATCTGTCTTCTGGATTGTTGCACCGTGTAGTCTGGTCGATGTTTACCAACGTTTCAGAGGTCATACTGCTTCCGTCATCAGAGTATGAAGATCTGTCTTCTGGATTGTTGCACCGTGTAGTCTGGTCGATGTTTACCAACGTTTCAGAGGTCATACTGCTTCCGTCATCAGAGTATGAAGATCTGTCTTCTGGATTGTTGCACCGTGTAGTCTGGTCGATGTTTACCAACGTTTCAGAGGTCATACTGCTTCCGTCATCAGAGTATGAAGATCTGTCTTCTGGATTGTTGCACCGTGTAGTCTGGTCGATGTTTACCAACGTTTCAGAGGTCATACTGACTCCGTCATCAGGGCGATGAATTATGTTCTTGGCCTTAACAATAAATGCAGCGCATTTTTGCCTATTAAATAGGATTACTGTCCATTGAACGTTGTAATTGGAAACCAACAGATGAAGAATGTGGAGCACTTCAAGTACTTGGAAAGCATAGTCACGACGGACGCCCTATGCACCAAGGAAGTAAAAGCAAGGATAGCCATGGCCAAGGCAGCTTTCGTCAAGAAGAGGATACTTCTCACTAGCAAGTTGGGCTTGGAGATGAAGAAGAAACTAGTGAAGTGTTACGTATGGAG